AGCCAATAAACCGGAGTCGACCTAATACATCCAGTTATGGTGCGGGTAGTGTTATTTAATTGGGTTTCGACCAGATGGACAAGGCGGCTGTTCAATCATACTCAGCTCCACATTCCGTGCGCAGTACACAAATCTGAAAGTTGAGGAACGCAGTTACGGAAGTAGCAACGCCCTAAATTGACCCACACAGCTTCAGCAAAATATTATTTCTGGAGCGAGTTTTAGCAGATGTGGTTTTCAGGTGTAAATATAAATATAAATAAATGTAAATATGTATGAATGTAAATATTTAAATTACAATTTAATTTTTAAAACATTAGGTCGATACTTAAATTAATTGTAAAAAATACTCATGTGTTTCAACACTAATGTTGAATAAATCTGCCAAATTTCAAAGTGGGACACACATAAATAACACTTAAAAGATCGCCGGATTCACCGGAGATTCACCGGAGCATATAGGCAGTTCGCTGCCCGCCGTACCCGCTGCTCGAACAGCGGGGCGTTAATGATACGACGCATAATGATGCGACGTCCAAACAAAACATCAGCGAGACTGATTCCATGTTATGAATCACAGAAACATACATACGCTCTCAAATGGAAGTCTTTTGACGAAATGCGACTATTAAGTTTATTTACAAACAACTGACACTGCTAGGATCTGCCAGAAACAGATCAACTTTCTTTCTCAGATACACTGAATCAGTTGTGTAAACAGAGGAATCCGCGAAACATGTGTGTTGTTCTGTGAAGTTAGTAACCACAGAAAGTCTCACAATAATATCAATACTATTGTTATTTGCATTATCTTGATATGGAAATCTATAATTGCAGAAGTGTATGTTTACCTTGTTTCAACCAGCAGTTTCTCGAAAAGTTGAAAATTGACTGTTCTCAGTCAAAAAAAGTTATATGAATTGGAAGAACTGGTTTTCAAAATTTCTTCTCGTGAAGAGTAAAGTGAAGTTTTTTCAAGGAAGTGAGAAGCGTCCATACTATTAATGCCGCAAATATGTTGGGAAGTGACGATGATGAATAAGCGTGCTCCGCTGGTCCTGGTCACCCTGACGTATCACGTGATACGAGTAAAAAGAAACTGACCGAGTAAGTTCGTCTTCTGTTTCTTCTGCTGTCTTCGCTCATCTTTTGCCGTCTTCTAACGTCTCCATGAGACAAAAATAAAATTTTACACTTAGTTTTCACTGTCCAATGTGATTTTGTTTTAGAAAATGGTTTAGTACTTGAAGATTTAATTCAGAGACTGCTGTGAATTTATGTCTTAAATACTCTGCATTCTTTTGTGATATACTTCAAAGAAAGCAAGAATTTAAAAAAATCAAATAATCTTTTTCTGAATACCTGAAACACGACACGAATTCAATTCACCCTTTTCAGTGTAAACCCATATTACTTCTCAAGTAAGATTGTCAGTGTAAACAGCCATATTTTTCGAATGAGGCCAGTGTCTAGTATTACAAACCATAGCGAGTTAATGTTTCCACAATTATGTCTTCTATGTGAGTGCTGAATGCCATTTCTTCGCTTCACAATATCTTATGGATAGGCAACGCAAATGGCGACATAGTGGGAAGGGGGACTGTAAAAGCCAAATAAAAGTTAGCCTTAATTTACTCAGGAAGTTATTTAAATGGGTTGATGATGATGTGAAGAATATTATCTTTATATTTTTAGAATGCTGAACAATTTTTAGAAAGAAGACTATTGCAACAATGATGTAATAAAAACAACAACAAAAGACACAATTAAAATAGTGTGACCCTGTTAATACCAGAAACATTCTCAGGTATAAGGGTTCACTTGATTAATTCGGCTTAAATAATCAGGTATGAGATTTAAGATATGAGACATGAGAAATATAAATAAATGTACTACGTGACATTTATATATATTAACCCAATTAACGATTACAATAGCAACTCTGTTGTTGTCTAATATTTTCCCCGTAATTCTTCCATGCATGAATGTCCATAGCTTTTTTTATTCTTATTTTAGAGTTTATTAATATAATTTCAAAACTTGGTCTTCAAATTTAATATATCCTATTTGGTATCTTTCCAGTAACGGTCGTCTACCTTCTTGGTCGTCGGTTCCGTGTTCACTCAAAGTTCCATTTCATATTAGTCCAATCCCAATTGCGACATCTTCTTCCTTTCCACACACATTTTATATTTTGTCCTACTTATAACATTTTCACCCTAATTAATAATTTACACCACGCTTATTCAATCATCATAGGATCTGGACCAGATATGCTAATCGATCGCCATCAAATCTCAATGTCTTTTGCCCCGTTTGTTCATGTTACGCGCTCTTCGCTTGTCTTCCTCCATGCGCAGGATAGTACCTAAACCGTTTCTCTTTCGCTCCACCGCGCAGGATCTTCCCTTTCTCCCGCACATTCTCATTTCTCATTGGTTGATCTCATCTAAGAATTTTAATGTTTATTACATGTCTATTTATTCTCATCAGAGCATTTTATATGTTTATTCCATGCCCATCTACTTTTGTAATTTAGTTCACTACCCTCGGAATTTGCTCACGTGTCCCTTCACTATGTTATTGACCACCAATTCCTCTATTTTCCTCAGTTCTAATTACTCTGTCCTTCCATTGCAGTTTCATTATCACTTTATCAAATTTTTATCCTATGTTCTCCATTGTTGAAGTTATGTTTATATTCTATACGAATTTGTTTACTTTTGTATGCACCTTGTGATAAATAATCACAATATAGTTCTGACTTTTGCTTTCCTAAAATCCGTAGGAGTTCTTCTAGGAAAACGTCTGTAAAAAATTGCCAATCATTCTTTAGCTTTCATCATCTTTAAAATTCTTAGAGTATTCTGACTCTTCTGTACAGTTTCAACTAGGTTACTTCATAACCTTCTTTATTCTTCACACGACATGCACATATATAGCCAGGAGACCCAGAGGATAGTCTGTCGCCAGAAAACCAGCTGGTGTCGTAGCCTGACTGCCCTTTAGCATCATCCAAGGAACACGTGTGATTTAAGGAGTGGTACGGACGCGACTAGCTATGGCCCCCCCATCCACCAGCTTTTTCTCGATGGTTACCTATCGTAAAATTTAACTTAGTTGGTCAACTTTTGATACTTATTGCGTTGTGACCATTGTAATAGAAAACTAGTGGTGCTATAGACTGGCACAAACTTTCCCGTATTAGTTTTCTATTTCCTTTGGTCTCGGCTACTATACGAACTTGTCACATATTCTTGGCTCCATATTCCCGAGGCTTCATATTTTTTCAATTGTGTCGTTTCTGTATTTTCTTTCTCGCGTTATAGTTAAGATTTTGCAAAAATATTTTATATGCTTATTCATCGTCATGTGGTGCACATGGTTGGGGGGGGGGGATAAGCCTGGATATTCTCGATATAGAATTTTGACCATAGCCGGACTGGCCATCTGACGACTGTAACAAAAATCTGAGTGACCAGAACTCTTCAGAGCTGTATATTTTCCCTCTAAGATCAGTCTTTTATAAGACATTCGTAATATTTAATGACGTTCTCATTTTTGTTGTGTTATATTGTTTATTTTCCACCAACTATCTGCTCCGTCGGAAATAGTTTTGAATGTTACTGGCCGTGAACGTATCGAATTATCGAAAGAGGAAGGATCTATATCGTTATGTGTGAAATTAAAAACCTTTTAATTACTTTATTAAAACATTTTTTTTGGTTTGGATAGCATGTGTCCCGTCAGATCAATATTTTCCAATCCGACCCTGATTTTTTATGATTGCCAAAAGGCGAAGTAAAAGTTAGTACAACGGCTGTGTAAGGGCCATATTAAGTTTTTAGAAGTAAAAACATAGATTTTAAATACATGTTCCTTCACCTCACTCAAAAATGACCATTGCGATACGTCATATTTCTTGTACACTGTCGATACAGTATGGATATTAAAAAACTCAAAATTACATATTATTACAGTAGACTAATATAAAAATGTAAAAATATATATCGTCTGCATTATATATTACAGAGAGGGGAAAAAAATGCAATTTTTATTCAATTGTACGACGCATTTTGGTTGTGTACGTGCCTCAAAGCAGGCCGGAAAGTGGGTACGGTACGGTGTGCCGTAAGGAAATCTCTTACCAACTAATGAACTTGGAAATTTGGTACCAATGTTCCTGATGTTTTATACGTACATGGCCAGCACCAACGATGCCGATGATTAAAATAATGGGATAGAAACTTACCATCTTTTTTCATTTTTTAAATTGTTTGTTGATATACAATGTTCAGTTTACAATGAAAACTTTGCAATTGTTTGATGACTTAATATAATTAACTTAATATAGGTTAAAATTGTACTTAACTAATCTGAATATAGGGAGAGGAAACAAAAAGCACCTCAGTAGAATTATTCAACATTTGCAAATATTTGGAGGAAAGAATGGAGCAGGAATCTGTTCTTAATTCTGGTTTTGTATCTGGGATCTTTTCTGAGTCTGTAGTAAGTTGATGTCTTTATGAAGGATAAGTTTGTGTAAAAGTTGTTTGATAAGAATGCTATTAGGTGTGTTATTTCATTTATGTTTAGATCGCGATGTAGTTGTTTATTACTAATGAACCATGATGCTCTTGTTATTAATCGTAAATATTTGTTTCGAAATACTTGCAATTTGTTCAGATTGGTTTTGGCGGCATTGGTCCAGATCGGGCATGCGTATGATAGTATTGGGCGAAATGTGATTTGTATGGCGTTAGTGCATTTGACAGTGAGAGGTGGTTGTATGTGTTAAGTAGAGGTCTTACTTGGATGAGTTTGATTTTTGGCTGTTGTGCTTTTATTTCAATGTGCTGTTTCCAGTTTAGTTTAGAATCTAAATTCAATCCAAGATATTTTATTGTTTTCGTGATCGGGGTCCAATTTATAGGATTATTATTTATAAGTAGCGGGGGTGGATCTGCAAAAGGTTTTAATGAGAAGAATTTTGCTGCTGATTTTGAGGGATTTAATTTAATTTTCCAGTTATTTGCCCAATTTGTTAGAGCTGGAATTGGTGAGTTTGTAATGAATTGCCGGAAATATATAATGCAGAGTCGTCGGCAAATTGGTTGGTGTTTATTTGATGGGAAGTAGGAATGTCTGCAGTGTAGAGATTAGAGTTGGGGGTAGCGACGAATCTTGGGGGTCCCCAGCGGCAATTTCATTGGGAACAATGACCATCTATTGTTACTGAGAAAGTTCTGTTAGATATGAAATTTTTGATGATTTGAATTAAATAGTTTGGAGTACTAATTACGACTAATTTGAAGTATAGGGCTGGATGCCATATTTGGTCAAATACTTGTGACACATCTAGGAATACTGTGGTGGTGTGAAATCCCTTTTGGAAAGCAGAGTGGATGTGTTCAGTTAGCCTCAATAGCTGGTGCGTCGTTGAATGTTGGGATATGCAACCGAATTGATGAGGCGGAATTGAGTTAGTTTTATTTATATGTTTGTTTAGTCAGACGAGAATTAATATTTCTAAAATTTTTGACATGATGGGTAAAAGATTGATTGGTCTATAATTTTCTGCACGTAAATGATTTTTATTTGGATTTGCTATTGGATGTATTATTTTAATTAAGTGTAATTACGACGTTAAATATAATGACAGATATATGCACTGATTATTGCCACTAACATGTTTCCTCTTGGGAACATAGAGCAGAGAATACAGAGATCTACCGCCGCAACTGGAAACATATTCCAAATAGAGCGAACCGATGTCTGGTTTAGTGTACAACAAAGTCACGTGATTACACTCACTATTTCTGAGTAGGGTTTGTGTAGTAGGTGAGTAGCGTAGTGTCATCGTTCGCACGTAACGTTGGAGTTGGCGCATGCCCAGAAGCGGGTTCAGAGCGTGTGCGCTGTGCGTGTACAGGGCCCGCGATGGAGCTGAGCAGTGCACAGCTGCGGGGGCTGGCGGAGATGCTGCGCTCTCCCGACGACGACGGCGACAGCAGCGACGACGACCTGCCGCCGTGCGCCCTCGCCAAGCTCGGTACGATTCATTGTTTATGTTTTAGAGCTCTGGGAAGAAGTGTTAAGTGCTGCATTGTATCCAATCTGGGAAAGCTACCGAACCGCTCAGCCGGCCGCAAGAATTCTCCTCCAAACAGTGGTTGTATTCGACTTAGCTATATCTAGACTCAAAAATCTGCCACCCATTACACTCGAACTCTACGACATTATGGTCACAGATGGCAGTTCAACATAGGAAGATTTCGTCATCCAGACTGTACAGCTCCGACATTAAACGCTTCCTGTTCTGGCCGCAGGATCTCTGTGAGATTAGATCCATTAACACACGAGTTGGCCTTCGAGGAAGAAGTTCATCCTCAGAGCGCTTTAGTAGATCGTTTCCCATCACTTAGAAGTGCGCGTTGTTGAAATCTCGATAAACCAACATTTCCTCATCAACTGAAAAATTGCACAGCGCGTCATAGCAAAACTTTTGGTAATTGTGACAAACAGTATTTGGTGCTTAATTTTAAAGACAGAAAATTATTATAAGATAACTGTTGTATATCAATATATTACATGTGATACATAATAGTTACAGCGACGTTTCGGAAAATAATATTTTTTCCATATTCAGTCTTAAATGTTAAAAATAAATATATTTTAAACAATGGACAGAGGGTCAGATTTTAACAGAATAATTTCATAGGACTACGTCCCAAGTCACAACGGAAAGAACGTTGATAAAAACTTTTGAAGATCTCAGCATGGTATCATCTGATTGTATGAAAGGATGTTGATAGAGAAGTTGAGAGGGACATTACAAAATCAAGTGAGACCGAAAAAAGTTAAAATTAACAGTTAATGGGAGAAATATCTTAATTATGAGAAAAATACTCAATGATCCATCATGTAAATTAGAAAATTTATTAGATTCCGCTTGTGTATTCAAACAAGAGGTTTTGATATATAGCGTTTCTAATATTAACCTAGGATATAAGCAATTTTCGCGGGCTAAAACTTTTATTTCTTGGAAATTCATGTGATGGAAAGTTATTCTATGTCCTGTTAAGAGAATTCTGTCATGCCAGGCCTTTTATGTTTCTTTCATGTTCAAGTAGTCTTGTGCTCAACTTACGTTTAGATTGACCAATGTATGATCTAATTCAATCTGTACAATTGATTTGATAAACATCGTTGTTAATATCTAATTTCCGTCCAGTATCTTGCAAGGTTTTTTACTATATTACACCTATTTACCACTTTATTTACTAGTTTAAATTTAAATGTTGTCCAAAGTTCTTTTTAATTCTCGTATACGTATGAAGTACATATATACGGAGTAAATTACGTAGTGTAGGGAAAGTTATGTAATGCTGCGGAAAATCGATTACGAGATTTCAACGGAAATATAGGGTTTGGGGTTCCCATACCACCCGAAAAAGTGGTTGTTTTCAAATCATATGACTATCCATTCGCGCCTTAACCATGCTTAGAATTGTTTCCAAATTGAAGAAACCCCTGTCCATCTGGGTCGAGTAGAATCTTTGAAAATCTTAGAAACTTCTTTTACAATTTGGGGGTTATTTCCATGAAGCAACTGAGACATTTCCAAAATTTCCTTAAAAACGGCTCTAAATGCACCTATAAAGTTTTCAATGTCAGATTTTCACGGTTAACCCTAAATTTTCAAAAATTCGAAATTTTCAATTTTTGTCGGAGTATTTTTCAACTACAAAACTCAAGCTAAATTTTTTTCCTTCAAATGAAATTCGTTGTCCATAATTAGTCCTTTCATTAAGGTCATGTACATGTTCTTAAAAATGTTAATAGTTTTCGCGCAATATTGCGAGCAATATGTGCGATTTAAAAAAAAAATACAAAAACACGGTGCGCGGCCTCCTCCCTTGTCGCGAATGTCACTGAGTATTTGTCGTTGCAAAGCATTGGACGGGCTACATTTTCGCTCTTTAGCAGAAGGTCACAATGATGACTGCCAGTGCTCACGACCGGTGACAAAAGACGGCAGCAAAGAGAAATTTCATCGCCGCGCGGCAGGCGAAAATTAATTCTAATTTCCGAATGCTTCGAAGGCAGGAAGTAGTAAATGACAGCTGATGTCTGTCCCTTGTGAAGTGAGTTTAAGCGAGTTTACGGGAAGCATTACACACGATCAATTGCAAAAAATATGGTGTAACTCCTGATCTATTGAGTCGAATTTTGAAATAGTTGGTGACGGTATTGTTTGTGGAGTGATGGCCGTCGCTGGCGCATTGAGCCGATCGCAAAAGCTTCAATCGGAGCTGACGGGCTACGCATTCGCACGTCCCTCCCGCCCCTTCCGCGCGCAGAGAGCAGAACTCGCGGAGAGTGCGGGCGCTCAGGCGCAATCCGGCGCACACGTCACCCTGCGCTGCTTCTCTCCAAACGGCTGAGATGGCCGGTGCCGGCGCTAGGCATGGGCAGCCCGGGCGATCGCCCGGGGCCGCGCAAGTCAAGGGCCCCAATGACGAGGCTGGCGGGAAAAATTAGAAGAAAAAAATATTTGAAAAACAAATTAGAATGCGAGAGAACCGTTATCGTAAATTTGTAAGTCGTGATACAGTTGTCTCATATTTCATAAAAGGTTAAATTAAATGTTTATCTTAAATAGTTAATTATAGTCATTACTTAGGTAGGACGCTAAATATGAGTTAATTAAATGACGCTAACATTAAAATAGGTTCTACTAAAATCCATATTTATTATTTCATGTATTAAACATGTGCTCTTATTATACACTATTTAAACATAACAATATTTTTAGTGTTTTAAGGTCACCGCGGAAACTCTATTATTTGATCACTAAATACTTTTGCTTAAAGCTATTATTTAAAATATCTTTTGAACACCTTTTTGTAGCTTCAACGCAGTGTTTTTGTTATTTGTTGATGTAAATAAAATAGGCTAACTGAGTATCTTGATAAAATTTTACATTTTTAATTTTTTTAAGGGGGGCTACGTTTCAGCATTGCTTCGGACCCTAAATTGTCTAGCTCCGGCACTGGAGATATGACAACAGTCTTTGCCGTTACAATCTTTCTGACCGCGAAGTTTTAGGTTTCGAGTCCTGACAATAGTGGATCTTCGACACTAGCTAAATACTAGTTGAGAAGAATTCAGTCGCTGAGTGGAGGAGACGGCGTCTAGCGGTCGACTGGTCCGATCGGTACTTTTAAGTGATTTCTTTGAACAATACCAGGTGAATGCCGGGGCAGGACCTTAACAAACCAGCGACTTGTTCTCTTTTCGTTCTCATCCTTATCACGTACGAGCCAGCGGGGAAGGAACAACAGTAGCTTCCGGGATAAACATGCACTACACTCACAGTAATAAGGACCAAAGCAGATGAGATTTCCGGAAACACGGAATACTCACTTGGAACAATATTGGTTGTTTAATTCGGATTGTGTATTATTCGTTGAAAAAGAGTCCCTGCGCTTTATCTCACTTGAGCAAGACTCGTTCTTGGGCGTTGCGTGCGTGCGAGAGCGTCGGTGTTGGGGGGGGGGCACTCAATCGCTTGCAACAGAGCTGCGCTGCCCGTCGCGTGCGCCCAAGCTGACGCGCGCCAAAAGAACGCCCCGTCAACACTGCCCTTCCGGCTTCGGGTCAGCGACGGCCGTCGGCTGCGTGGCCCTATTTGTGCACTCTTTCTCATTTGAAACTCCTTATACGCATTAATATAATATCTTGTGATGGAAGGCGTAAACAAAGTATATTCGGGCACAACGTAATAGCCCGGACGTAGTAGCTTAAAATATGTTGATGGTATCATTCCGATTCGAAAAACATTTACTTGTGTACAGTATTTAATTTATACTAAGTTGGGTCCTGAAACACGCCTACAAATAATTACTCATTTAAATGATATAGTTATATATTTGTAATATATATTATTAATTAGAAATAGTGGTTAATAATGATAATTAGTTAGGTCGGTAGCACTTGCTGTAGCCTATTCATAAATATATCAACCATAAAATAGTTTGTGACATTTATCGGTTTATACAATTTTTTACATGTATAGAAATGATAAAGTTAAGTGGAATATTATTTAATTTTGTGTTTAAGTTGATAGAAATACAAATGTAATGCAGGTAAATGTTAATAGCACTGCAATATCAATGCGAGACTCCAGAATGTGAAAAAGTCGAGTAATTTACAAAATAATAAAAATTAAGAATTCCATTGCTTTGCTGATTCGAAATGAAAGTTATGGTATTGTCTGTGTTTCAGCCATACATATCGCCGAACACAATGAGGAAGGGGGTTATAACATAGTCCTTCCTGGGGAGCGTGTTGTCGTAGAACGATGATTTCGACAACTGAAACAACGCTTCCGCATTTTATTTGCTCCACTGCGCGTGAAATTGAAACTTAAATTCGAAAAATACTTTTCACAAACTAACAACGGCAGACTTCATAAACAAGTCCATCGGCAGCACGCAAACAAGTTGTACAACAGCGCGAATCGGAACAAAATCGCATCAGCTGCATAGACAAATGACAATATTCTCAATTTGCCGTTAGATAACTCATCACTCGGAGAATATTTTTTTTCATCAGAAGTGAGTAAACATTTATTGGCCGAAGAATATTGTCAGACCAAATGCTCAAGCTCGGGAGAAGAAGCTCTTAGCAAATGCTTGTTTATTATTCCTACTACCGAAAATGAACTTATATTTTTTTGAGCAAATGTACGCGGAATTTTGATACAATGGAAACGACCTTCTCGTAGTTTCTGCTTTCTTGACACCATGGAGAAAATTTTCTAGGAAATATTTTTGAATATGGTTGAATAATCTGGAAAATTCATAGATGTATACTTCCCAAAACAAGAGGGGGAGCCAACTATATTTCTGGGCTTCTTTTTCTCATATTTTTACAAATGACTTATTTTACTACTATATAAATAAAATATGCTTGAAGGAGAATGGAATTGCTACTTTAATGATACAATTAATAAATACAAGAAATTTTTTGATGAACTCCTCGTATTTACATGGTTGCCATATGACTTATGTTAGAGACTCTTCCCCAAATGTTTAAAAATTTCCCAAATTGTCAGGTTAGAAAAGGAGAAAATTAGGGATTGCATATATTTTCGGAAAGAAACTGTTTTATTACCTAAGGCTAAAGGGGTCCTTTTCAACATTCATCAGGCAAGGTCCCCCATGGCCACTCTGCTTAAGTCTTGATGTAGTAATTGATGTAGGTAATGTTATCGTCTGCCAAACTTTTTTAAAAGATATTTTAGGATTATTTAATTAATTGTACTTATTTACCAGTTTAAGGAGCAGAGAAAAGGTTTGTGTGTATGTATATATATATATATATATATATATATATATATATATATATATATATATATATATATGCTTCATTGTACCACGATAAGTTTTCTATAGGACTCTCCTCTAGAGAAGTGAAGCGAGAAGTGAAAATATTGATCTTTTTTTTTATTAAAGGTCTTCGGGCAGTAACAAAATCAGACATACCACATATAGAAAGCCTGCCACTCTTCGTAAATGGTAATATCTCGACAGTACATTGGAAGTTTTACTAGCGAATAAAACGTGTATCGTATGTTAATACAACACTGGATTGGCTATCAAAGTAATTCTAACAGTCTCGTTTTATAATATTGCCTATTCGCGTATTATAATAAGTAGTTTTACTATATTTATTTCGAAAAAACCTACTATTAGCCTGTTGCTGTAATCAATATGTACCCGATTAACATTGAACATGATTCCATTGAATGCTGAGTAGTGGATGCTGGGACCTCAATGGCGCACGCCGGCACGTGTCTAGGGATGACCAAATACATCGATGTTTTTAAAACGTACGGTATCTATTTTATTTGCGGATTGCTCGCAATCAACAGCCATAATAACTGTCACTGTTATCGATCACTAAGCGAAAGAGTTTGCTACGTATTCGCACCATTTCTCCAGTGTTGTTACCTTTTTTAAAAATTATTTCGTATGTGGAAATATTGTTAAGCTGTTATTTGGACTTTGATTACATTGAGCATTAATTAGAAAATAGAGATGAGAGTCAAATTTAAGGCAGAAAATTCTTTGAACTAACATTGATGTGTTATGTGTCATGTTAGAACCAGAACTTACTTCGAAATGTTTTATTACATCGAATTATTATTCGAAAACCTTTTGATGATGCGACAAAATATCGATGTCGTCCGGATGGCCGAGATCGTTAAGACAGTAGTGTCGTAGCGATCTCGAACTGAAAGATCGCGGGATCGTTACGACACACAGTCCCGTCTCGGGCAAGGTGTATTTATGTTCCTTTCACCCCCTATTATCACCATAGCTATATTACCCCCATTATCACCATCATCTTCATAGTTACCATAACGTTTAATCCAATAGTGGTCGCTAATGACCTAGATGTTAATGCGACCTTAAAAAACAAAAAAGTATCTATGTATCTTATGTTTTGTTAAACTTTGCCTTCATCACTACGCGTGGCTGTTTAGGGCCGGGGAACATCGGGCCTCCGAAGAAGGCCGGCGGCGGCGGAGGCACGAGGGTGACGGCGAGTGGCGACGGCGGCGGCGGTGGCGGCGTGCCGGGGGCGGGGGCGGGAGCGGGCGACCCCGACGCCATCTGGTGCCCCACGGAGGTGGCGAGCGCCCCCGACGACGAGGACGGCGCCGACCCACGCCCGCGCCCCGAGTACGACATGCACTTCCGCCAGGCGGTCACGCCCGAGGACGTCTTCCTGCAGGTGGCGCCATTAGGGCACAGGCTGACTCGGATTAAAGGTTGCAGGCTTCTAGGGGACCCGAAATTCGAATACGTCAGAACCTGACTCACCAAAGCGGGACGAGTTGCCGACCACTCAGAGGCAAATACCACGTGTGTAACTCGTTTCCCTCTATACTTTCATCGACTAAAAGTAATACTTTTCGATCCCCTCTGTGCCCTAAAAATTTGTAACATTTATCCTGAGATACCTGTAGATCAACACATTACACTGAGATATATGATTTTAACATTATTGATGATGACCAGCCGACCTGGATGGCCGAAGTAGCTAGAGCGTGTGCCGACTTAGTGCCTCGGTTCGCAGGTTGCAAATCGAGTCCCGCCATGAGCAAGACTGTCGCTTGTCTTTCATGCATGCGTGTTGTCGCGGAAGGCCTTGTGAGTCTGCTGACCACAGACCGAGGAATCCGCATTGTCTAGTACAAAGATGTGTCTCCTTTAGGGACATGATGGGTACCAGGCACGGATAGCCGAAATTGGCATCTCCTGAAGCTAGAAAAAGCTCCAGGAAAAATATATTGATGATGACTATAAGAAGAGACTTTACGTCTTCGTTGAATGTTTGAGCAAATTCAAAAACGCGAGAAGGATGTCTGCTAATATGAACTAGATATTACACTTTGTCTGGGGGAGGGTTGTTGATACCTCCACAGTAGGGTCACACAGTATATTAACACAGTCCTGCAGCTTCGAGAGAAGTTTTGGCCCTGTCGCACTAGGGCTTCAAGCCACCAGCAAGCTTCTGTAAGTTTGGAGTCTTGAGAACGCATGAAAATAGTTTGTTGTATTTTCGTTTGTTAAATTTAATTTTTCAGGAACTTTTATTGATCAGTATTTAACATATGAAAAGTGGAAACTTCATCATGTCGACCTTGGAATAAATTCTACATAATATTAAAAGTTCTCTCCATATTTTGATACCTCGTTTATTCGATTTCATTAATAACTGTCGATGATAAAATTTGAATAGTATGTATGAATTGGATTCTCAAAATAATATAATTATAACGACAAATTCGTACTCAAGCAGTAAATATTAATGATACGAGAACGTGGTCAGCTTAAAATTGTTATAAAATGCCCTAAAAATTAGGAAAATAACGTTAAAAAATTGATCAAAACCACTTCAAATGAACAACTCAAGCTGTTGGATATGTTACCAATGTAATCGAGGCTTCTTCCTTTTGTTCAAGTGAACTCAGCTTGCAAACTTTTGGTTTGAGCTGTTCTTCATGTATCGTGAAATCGGTCAAACTGAAAAAGGCGCCGGTACGTCACAGGAACCTTAGATTACATAGTACTCTCAACGGCTGACATTACAATATATGAACGAAGAAATCGAAAAGGCTACTCACGAATTCTGTGGTAAACATTTGTTGCATCTAGTAAATATTGTTTGAAGCAAGTGCCGTTAAAATGATATTAAAATCGATGAAATCGGGAAAAAAAGTATTAAAAATTACGTAAAAAAGTAAAAAAGATTTAGTCGGTATTGACACAAAATGCAAAAAAATGTATAAAAATGGGTAATTTCGTCATAACATAAAATGGATTTCTATACTAAACGGCATTGTTTACGCACATGTAAAAAGAAAAAATTACATTTAATTAAAATTCGCCCCCTAGTGATGAAGTTCCCTCTGTGATGGCTTCCAAGACTCCTCTCGGATCTCACATGTATCATGTAGTCCGTGAGGGCTGATTGCAAGGCCCTTAGGTTTTGAATGTGGCAGGAGCTTCTTTCTTCAACGCGGTGAGGGTGCAACACCAACATATGCAAATTTAATTTAAAAATGTGTGCAAATGATAGCATCTGGTAGAGTACGGAACGGCTGGTGAATGTTCTGTGATTTCTCAAACACGCACTTCATGCATTGGCCATCGACTCCTGACGTGAGCCAGGGAATCACCTGTTCGGCTCGGACACGCCCAGTCACGTGATCTCTCGCATCTTACAGCTGTGAAACTCATCTCGTGGTGGGCATGAAAGGAAAAATGTTCTTTCTGCACGACGCCTTCAATAGAAATCAAATGATTTGCTTCGTAATTCATTGGTTTGAATTCAGAGCCACTCTACGGCTGTTAGTACTTAGATATTGCCTTTTTTCGACTTAGCTCGACTCAGATAGTTTCCGTTTGCATGACCTGAAGTTCGACGCAACAATGTATAAATATGATAATAAAATACAAGTAACATTTATCATTTAAAAAATAGACACAAAATCCAATCCACTATAACAATTAAAATATAACCTTATAGAATTCAAGGCTTGTAGAATTCAATTATATTATTATATTAAATAAATTAAATTATACCCATTAAAATATAAGTACTATTGATAATGTAAATTATGTTACTAGCCTCTTGCCAAATACACAAACTCCTTATAGTTTACAATTTGACAGATGTAAGCTTAAAAAAGACAAAAAATATAAAAATAGATTTAAAATGCATGCTATTCACCCTTTGTATGTTCCACCCTATATTCCTTGCTCCATTCACTTAACTTCACTACACAGCTCGCCCCTCCCCTCAGCAGGTCCATTCGCTAACAAAACTTAACATTTAAGGCAATGGTGTACACTTGAGACAAGCCAGCACTTTATTGGTCATTTCTCTTCTTAAAAGACGTCATTAATAAAAAAATGCACACATCCGTTCTTGTGGATCCTTGATCACTAACGCGCGTGCTCCTGGAAGTGTCACTAGCACCTTTGCAGATAAATTGAGTGAGCAAGGGTCTTCGTTCATTGTTTCCTGCGTTCGTGTGTGGGTATGTGTATGTTCAAGTCTTTCGCTGCTAGCTTTGCCTTACAAGACATGCACAGTCATTGCAGAAGAGCGAGAGGAGCGATGCCTGTGACGCCGGCAGAGCAGTGGGCGAGTCACGCGATCGCCACAACGCGCGGCGGCGAAGGGAGTCCCCACGCGATGACCTCTCAAGAGCGCGGAGCGGTGATAAGGAAAGACTCCGGTCTTGTTTGCTAGATATCGTCTATCATCTCGCCACAGGGCCTGCATTGTCCTTGTTGCATTTACGGTCATCGCGCATAGGGGACTGATCGGGCAAGTTCATTTTCAGAAAGATAAAGTCGTACCGCTCCTCGTTGGTTCTGATTCCGTCCTGCTATCCCGTCATCAAGAGAAGCCGATTAGGAGTGCACATTCTGCGTTCGCCTCACCAAGATACGAGTCTTTGCAGGCGGGCACACGTTCTAGTATGTGTTTCCCAATGGACAACATCCGACCCACGCTAATCCATTCTAAAAGCCTTTTAATCATTCGAAAGTTATCTTACGAAACACTACGAAACCAAATGAAAGAGTATCGTACAAATCATGACTCACAAACAAAAACATGTTAGCTGATTAAAAGTTTTTCATTACACGGAAAATACAATATATATATATAAATATATATATATATATATATATATATATATATGTACTGTTTTCATTGTAATACTATTTCGTATAATAAATTGTTCATAATTGCAACATTGTATATCATGTTATCCTTTTTAAGAAGTCAGAAGAAATTATAAATTCAATTGAAGACTTCAATATTGTTTACCGTTTACTCAGTCGCAGTTTTACATATAATTTTGTTTAAACTACAGGCAAAAATTCAAGTGGTGGCAAAAGTGAATGCCTTTTTTTATCACTTCGGTTCCACTTCTTGCAAATCTTGGACCATAACGTTTTTCCAAATTGTCCAAAAGTTACATTTTTCGACACATCTGTGCGCATAGTATAAGATTTGACTGCGAATACCTAATGCTTCCTTTGATCACGTACATTTTCCTCTCCGCTTTTTGTGTGCGCTTTGAACAGCGAACGGCCATCGCTTAACCGTTTTTCTGCAGCCAGGCCAATCTCACCTAGCTGTCGTGGAGCCTAGGAAGAATGCACGTCGAGAAAGAACGATGATAAATTAATGACAGGTGAAGTGATGAGTAATGAGAATGGTCAATAAATGGATTTGTAGGAGACTCGAGGGAAACCTAAAGTGCTGTGCCACGTATCCGCTTTGTGGACTAATAATTCCACTTTAGAAATTGCGAATTGAAAGTAGACCCCGTGAAATGGAAAGGGTGCCAGCCGCTAGGAGCTAGGCAATGGGGGCTCCTCGTTCTCCTCCCGGGCGCACAATGCGTCTGGTGCTCGCGGCGTACAATGCTGGTCTGGGACATGTTGAGGCTTTCTTCCTGTCTGGGTCACAAGGAGCCACAAAGGCCCATTCACAATGCAAACGTAAACATAAGCATATCGCATAGACATAAACATTAACAAAAGCGATAGACTGACGTATTCACCTAACATAAACGTAAGCAAAATAAGTTTCTATTGGCTTTGAGACTTTCTGGTTGGATGTGAGAATCGATTTCACGACATCGACTTTGTCTATGCCCCATATGGCGTTAGTTCTTCTATCGACTTCCCTCCAATTTCGATTCTCGATTTTGAGTTACCGTTCTGTGATTGGTTCAAAAATTAGAGAGAGATAGGAGAGTTTCGTGTAGGTATTTGACTCGAACAACACTGCATCTAAAGTGAGGGACGAGTTGCCGACCACTAAGAGGCACATTACAGTGTGTAACTCCGTTTCCCTCTATACTTTCATCGACTAAAAGTAATACTTTTCGATCCCCTCTGTGCCTAAAATTTGTAACATTTATCCTGAGATACCTGTAGATCAACACATTACACTGAGATATATGATTTTACATTATTGATCGTGACCCAGCCGACTGGATGGCCGAAGTAGCTAGAGCTTGTGGCCGACTGAGTGCCTCGGTTCGCAGGTTGCAAATCGAGTCCGCGCGTGAGCAAGACTGTCGCTTGTCTTTCATGCATGCGTGTTGTCGCGGAAGGCCTTGTGAGTCTGCTGACCACAGAGCGAGGAATCCGCATTGGTCTAGTACAAAGGCTAATGTGTCTCCTTTAGGGACATGATGG